AGCAGTGCATTGGCAAAGTAAGCCAGACCGGGGGTGTGGATCACAGACCACGCGACAAGTGAAAGACTCCATTATAATAAAAGCACTGCTGAATCTGCATCTTATTTGCGGTACCGAGAATTCATACGTCATTTTAGATGACGGGAGATGAGCAGAATCTTTTTTATTTCCACAACAGAGCATGACAGCAAATGAGCGCATGCTGCAGCAATGGAGATGTTTTCGATCCATTCAATGAATTCGAGAAACACAGTAGCCGCAAATCATCAACTAGGCCTATATGCACTTTTTTCATTTGGGAAACTATCATTTTCTAATTTATTTCTATTTTATTCCATAATATTTTTGTTACAAAATAGATCTGTGTTGACTGTGATTAGGGCATTGGGAATATAACAGCATCTGCTAGGCTAAATTAACAAACTAGTCATAGCTCACCGCATGATCCTCAAACCAAAGACTGGCCTTTCTAAATATGAATTCAAAGGCACTGTAGAATGACTGTATAGACTAATAAGGCATTTTTCATTTAATTATTTAATTTTAAGTAAATAATATATTTAAAAAATGTATACAGCCTAAATGTGAAATGCATAGGCATGTTGTTGAAGTGCTGTTGTTGATGTGTTGTTGATATGCTGAGCGCTCCTGCCAGCCTGTAGCTGTTACAAATGCTTCACAATTGATTTCTTAAAATGGCAGGCTATAGCCTTGAAATAATAATAATATAGCCTAAATAATATTTTTTGGTTCCTTCTTAGGCTACCTGGCTTGCTCCTGACGGATTTAGAGTTAGTATGTTGTTTAATAGCCTGTTGAAATGTTGAATTTCAATTGATAGTGACAGAATCACACATTACCATACTTCCCAAACTAAGTACTTTTTTTGTCTCCTCGGCTATGGTTGTAGCGCAACCTCTGAATATAATCTTAGCGACTGTTCAAGCAAGAATCAAAACATAATTGTAAGTGTATGAGAACCCTAAAAAGTTATTTGGTTTAGAAGTAATAAAAACTTTAATCTAGGCTGTTGAATGGGCGCAAATGGCGATGGCTTTCTTACATCCAACAAGTGTTGCGCGCATCTGTAGGTGTAGTCAGTGTGTTGTGTACTGGAAAAGGGTCTATAGTAATGTAAGTTATGTAAATTCCTAGAATATGGCTTAATGTGAGGTCAATAACTCTATAATAAATAGCTTCATTATGGGCAATGAAACATATTGTTTTTATTAAAATCAATTATAGCAGTAGCAAGCTTACCTCCAGTCCTCCTCATGTTTCAGCGCTCTCCCTCTCGAACTGAACAGAACATCAGTAGGCATAGTCCGCGCGCACAAATATTGCATTTTGACAGGAAGTCAATTTTCTTGCTTCACTGAGTGTAACAGTTTTGCTTCCGTCCCTCTACTTGCCCCTACCTGGGCTTGAACCAGGGACCCTCTGCACACATCGACAACAGTCACCCTCGAAGCACCGTTACCCGTCGCTCCACAAAAGCCAAGGGAAACAACTACTTCAAGGTCTCAGAGCGAGTGACGTCACCGATTGAAAATGCTACTAGCGCGCACCGCTAACTAGCTAGCCATTTCTGTGGTCCTCTGTAGCTCAGCTGGTAGAGTACGGCGCTTGTAACGCCAAGGTAGTGGGTTCGATCCCCGGGACCACCAATACACAACAAAAAAAAATGTATGCACGCATGACTGTAAGTCGCTTTGGATAAAAAGCGTCTGCTAAATGGCATATTATTATTATTTCACACCGGTTACACTCACCACCCTTTGACCTCCTCCTTTTTCCGCAGCAACCAGTGATCCGGGTCAACAGCATCAATGTAACAATGTTGCTTCCGTCCCTCTCCTCGCCCCTTCCTGGGCTCGAACCAGGGGACCCTCTGCACACATCGACAACAGTCACCCTCGAAGCACCGTTACCCGTCGCTCCACAAAAGCCACTGCCCTTGCAGAGCAAGGGAAAACAACTACTTCAAGGTCTCAGAGCGAGTGACGTCACCGATTGAAATGCTACTAGCGCGCACCGCTAACTAGCTAGCCATTTCACACCGGTTACATGAGCATGCTCTTCGCATAGCCTAGGCCTATTGCCTATAATATAGGCTATGGATCATTTGATTGAGACCAAACTAGGCGCACTTGATATTGCGCGCCAAGCAGAGAATCAGAGATGAGGGGCAGCATCGGGCACACATCGAGACACCTTCCTAATATTGGACACCTTCCTAAAATTGAGTTGCAGCCCCCTTTTGCCCTCAGAACAGCCTCAATTCTTTGGGATGCTGGCCCATGTTTGACTCCAATGCTTCCCACAGTTGTGTCAAGTTGGCTGGATGTCCTTTGGGTGGTGGACCATTCTTGATACACACGGAAACTGTTGAGTGTGAAAAACCCATCAGCGTTGCAGTTCTTGACACAAACCTACTACCATACCCCGTTCAAAGGCACTTCAATATTTTGTCTTGCCCATTCACCCTCTGAATGGCACACATACAGTGGGGGAAAAAAGTATTTAGTCAGCCACCAATTGTGCAAGTTCTCCCACTTAAAAATGGCTATGGCCAAGAAGCTGTCAAAGGCTCCACTATGGCCAAGACCAAAGAGCTGTCAAAGGACACCAGAAACAAAATTGTAGACCTGCACCAGGCTGGGAAGACTGAATTTGCAATAGGTAAGCAGCTTGGTTTGAAGAAATCAACTGTGGGAGCAATTATTAGGAAATGGAAAGACATACAAGACCACTGATAATCTCCCTCGATCTGGGGCTCCACGCAAGATCTCACCCCGTGGGGTCAAAATGATCACAAGAACGGTGAGCAAAAATCCCAGAACCACACGGGGGGACCTAGTGAATGACCTGCAGAGAGCTGGGACCAAAGTAACAAAGCCTACCATCAGTAACACACTACGCCGCCAGGGTCTCAAATCCTGCAGTGCCAGACGTGTCCCCCTGCTTAAGCCAGTACATGTCCAGGCCCGTCTGAAGTTTGCTAGAGTGCATTTGGATGATCCAGAAGAGGATTGGGAGAATGTCATATGGTCAGATGAAACCAAAATATAACTTTTTGGTAAAAACTCAACTCTTCGTGTTTGGAGGACAAAGAATGCTGAGTTGCATCCAAAGAACACCATACCTACTGTGAAGCATGGGGGTGGAAACGTCATGCTTTGGGGCTGTTTTTCTGCAAAGGGACCAGGACGACTGATCCGTGTAAAGGAAAGAATGAATGGGGCCATGTATCGTGAGATTTTGAGTGAAAACCTCCTTCCATCAGCAAGGGCATTGAAGATGAAACGTGGCTGGGTCTTTCAGCATGACAATGATCCCAAAACACACCGCCCGGGCAACGAAGGAGTGGCTTCGTAAGAAGCATTTCAAGGTCCTGGAGTGGCCTAGCCAGTCTCCAGATCTCAACCCCATAGAAAATCTTTGGAGGGAGTTGAAAGTCTGTGTTGCCCAGCGACAGCCCCAAAACATCACTGCTCTAGAGGAGATCTGCATGGAGGAATGGGCCAAAATACCAGCAACAGTGTGTGAAAACCTTGTGAAGACTTACAGAAAACGTTTGACCTGTGTCATTGCCAACAAAGGGTATATAACAAAGTATTGAGAAACTTTTGTTATTGACCAAATACTTATTTTCAAATAAATTCATAAAAAATCCTACAATGTGATTTTCTGGAGAAAAAAAATCTCATTTTGTCTGTCATAGTTGACGTGTACCTATGGTGAAAATTACAGGCCTCTCTCATCTTTTTAAGTGGGAGAACTTGCACAATTGGCAATTGGTGGCTGACTAAATACTTTTTTCCCCCACTGTACACAATCTATGTCTCAATTGTCTCAAGTAAAAAAACATATTTAACCCTCTACAGACTAAGCCCTGTCTAAGCTGGGGGAGGAGTGGGGGGGGGGGGGTTCTACTAAGCTACAGTGGCAAGAGAAAGTATGTGAACCCTTTGGAATTACCTGGATTTCTGCATAAATTGGTCATAAAATTTGATCTGATCTTCATCTAAGTCACAACAATAGACAAACACAGTCTGCTTAAACTAATAATACACAAACAATTATACGTTTTCATGTCTTTATTGAACACACCGTGTAGACATTCACAGTGCAGGGTGGGAAATGTATGTGAACCTTTGGATTTAATAACTGGTTGACCCTCCTTTGGCAGCAAAAACCTCAACCAAACGTTTTCTGTAGTTGCGGATCAGACCTGCACAACGGTCAGGAAGAATTTATGGACCATTCCTCTTTACAAAACTGTTTCAGTTCAGCAATATTCTTGGGATGTCTGGTGTGAACCGCTCTCTTGAGGTCATGCCACAGCATCTCAATTGGGTTGAGGTCAGGACTCTGACTGGGCCACTCCAGAAGGCGTATTTTCTTCTGTTGAAGCCATTCTGTTGTTGATTTGCTTCTGTGTTTTGGGTCGTTGTCCTGTTGCATCTCCCAATTTCTGTTGAGCTTCAATTGGCAGACAGTATAGCCTTACATTCTCCTGCAAAATGTCTTGATAAACTTGGGAATTCATTTTTTCCGTCGATGATAGCAAGCTGTCCAGGCCCTGAGGCAGCAAAGCAGCCCCAAACCATGATGCTCCCTCCACCATATTTTACAGTTGGGATGAGGTTT